GGATAGCACATTCGAGCCACGCACTGGCAAGGGCTGTTTCGAAACCTGTTTAAAGGTAAACTGACAACAGTTTGGACTTTCCAGGATATCCCTAAGTATCAATTTACCATCGAAACGAATGGACGAATCGTAGAAAGATTGTTTGTCCCAGTGACGGTGCCGGACCCCCGGCTTTCAGCAGAAGACCAGCTTTTCTGAGCTGTGCTTGCCAGCGTTGGTCGCGCTAAACTTTTGTGTATGTATTGACTTTTGTGTTATGTTCTGTTGTGCAGTTCTTTCCAGCTGTCCTTTAATTCCAGGTATTTCATGAGTGGTTGGAACGTATGGTAATTGCTGATGATGCTGATGCCGTAGACCCCTCGATTCCTCCTTTTGCTTCGCCTTATCCTGCTCGAGGTGTATACGGTACATTTTTAGAAATCTGTGATTCTTTAGAGATTTTTGTCTTAAAAGAATTTCCAACATGATTTTATGCATTCGCACTAAACGCACTTTGAATAGTACCGCTTTATTTCAACTAGCTGCTTACCTCATTTTGGGCTTTATCAAAATACCTGGTCTTTCTGGTGACCTGATGATCGGTGATTGGTGATGGTTGGTGATCAAAATATCGCCTGATGATCGGCTTTTTGGTGACCCCGAACGTTTGTTTTGCCTTCTGAAAGGATTACGGATTCTGCGGCTCTCCCAGTAGAAGTGCTTGTCAAAATTTTGGTCGCTTAGGGATATACTTTGATTAGTTAAGCATCAGCACGTTGTTTCGGACGTTACCGCTTTTAAATCAGGATGGGTTAGCTTATTGGCTAAAATATTATTGAGTTATTCTTGCAAAATCGAGAATTTTCATTATAGTTTAATTTGAAATTTCGTATATTAGGGAGCGGTGGATAACATCTCGATATTTTTGTGTTTATTGATAAAAAAGAATTCGGCCTATCAACTAGAGAAACGTGAAAGCTTTGCTTGGAATTGCATTCGAACCATTTTCTGAGTGTGCAGTGATATAATTGCATAAAATCGTAGTCTCAAATATCCAATAACGTTAGCGTCACTCATCCTATTTCCTTCTCCTCCCTTCCCCTTACCCCGCCTCCCCCTCCCCTCCTTTCCTTTGTCAGATATTTGCAATTTAAAAAGTCGCAATGTGCGCACATTACACTGCCGACGCATTTTTATGCGTTTTGTGCTGTGTAACAGCGTTACAAAACGCATATTGTCACGGGGTTGTTGGTGTGCGTGTGTCCCACGTTTTGTCCCGCACTTTCAACTCGGGAACCACAAAAGCTAGGCGGCTTTTTGGTATAGTGTTCCCCGTCAATGGGTGACGCGGCAAATTTAAATTTAGCCTTCGCGTATCCGCGGGTAACTCGTACGGCCCCGTGAAAGTTTTTTACGGGTAAGTCAATATCTCAGGAACCACGCAGTCTAGGAGGCTGAAATTTTAGGATGACCCCCTGCCCACGCTCAACCTTGCCTATTGAAATCCAGCGTTTTCTCGCTGTTGATTATCACTTACGGTCTCGTGAGAATTTTGGCGGCTAAACTATTAACTCGGGATAAAGATATTCACCCTTCAGGGTTTATACGCTGGTGCGTGAAATTTTTAACTATTTTCCAATTTTGAACTATTTTTGCATAGACAAAAGTACAAAGCAGTGAAAATCATTAATAGACAATCGTTCGATGGCCTGAATTGCACAAAACGTATAATCGCACCGGCTAATCTGGTGCGGGTTGCTATTTATTCACATTTCACATGAAATAAATGTACATACGTGTGTATTTATGTTGCAGGTTTTGTGCTATTTGTGTGTTCGTGCTTTGCATTGGCAGTGTATCTGATTTGGGCGCTCATCCCAACGCCCTATCTCGAACTCCTCCATTTGACGTATGTGCCAGCGAAGTACTGGGCAGTTGCACTGCCACTGCTTCTCCCAATAACCGTTGCTGCATTTGTCATCTTCGTTTTCGCGCACAATCTCATCCGGTTACATGGCATTTTCGAGGACATTGAGGTATAGATTTGCTGTTTTTGTGGCGTTGTTTGTGCCTGTGAGCCTTTCAGTAAAAGAAGCTGATCAAAGATTATTTGCAGCTAATCAGTCTTTGCGGTGCTGTAGCTTTTGATGCAGCGAGAGGTAGTGCTTCTGTAAGGCTGAACCTCGAGAAGGGATGAGCAGGCCGTTTAGGATTTGTTAATTTGTGGTTAATATATTGGTGCTAGAGAAATAAACTCGTCATCCGGATGCTTCTGAGCAGCCTTTAGGAAAAAGAATCACCGACCCGGGGGCGGTTGCTTTTGACATGTGGAACTAATTACGCTGGAAGCCCAGGAATTTTCGATCATGTGTTGCAAAATCACAGCCGCAGACGACACCTCTTTTCCCCTTGTATGCAAGAAAAGACCGAAATATGTTAAACTATAACGCAGCCAACATGGCACGGATAGGCGAACACACACACAGATAGATAGAATCGTTACGATACGCGTTTTTGCTGGCCGTACCGCAAAAACCCACAAAAACGATCTTTCTTCCCAAGAGAGTGAAAAATAGGAGGGAGGAAAAAGTGGAGAGGGGAAAGGGAAAAAGAAATGAACTTTTACTATTGCTAGCCATCTCACAGATGCTCCTTTAAAACATGTCGATAGTCTTCTAGAATTTTTCTGGCAAACACAACTTACGTTGGTGTGCACTCCAGCCTTCACCCGTCATTCATCTTGCCATCATTCATTTTCCTTTCAGGTAATAGAGGATGATTTTGGCGAAGCAGCAAAATTTGAAGGCGAAAATTTGCATGCTTTTTTGTCAAAAACGCATGGTGATACTTCTGAATTAAATAGTAAGACTTTTTTTTTCCTCCACATGTTCTCATTACCATCACAAATATTTCGCACACAAGATTTTTTTTCTCGTGGCTTTTTTACTTTTTTTTTCACGTGGCTTTTTTATTTTTTTTTTCTCGTGGCTTTTTTACTTTTTTTTGGGAGGAGGGGGAGGGGAGCGTGGGGAATCTTGTTCTTGTTCTTTGTTTGTCAATATAACAGCAAGTTATTTCAGACTGTAATACCTCGCCAGCCACTACAACTAAACTAACCGGGCATTCATAAACCCCATAACAATGATATCCCGGACAACTTTTCGTTTTGTAAAGCCTTTTCCACCCACACTCTCAGCAACACGATTGCGAGGGACTCAGCAGCGGCGTCAGCCTTCACGACGAAAAATGCAGCTGCCGAAAGATATGCCAGCAAAAACCGTTTCAACTTCAAAAATTGGCGAAATTGTTCGAAAACGATTGGAGATGTCTGCGAGCGCTGCACAGGCATCCTCGGATAGCATCAGCCTGGATTCATTATCTGCTGGCAAATTTCTGCAGTAAGTAAACTTATTTTTCACACTGTGCTATCGTATTAGCTATGAGAGCATCATGTGCATAATATTTAAGACGCTTTAATACTTCGATCAGCGGTTGTTTCGTTGTCGATTTTCCCCTCATCGTTAGTGCAACTAGCAGTTTCTCGATTCTTCGGTTTTTTTTAGCCTTTCATATCCACATAATTCCATATAGGCGTTCATATTGCAAAATCGCATTTGCTTACAAAATTTTTTGTAAAAAAAATACGGTCTTTTGCATCTTAAAGTGTGTACGACTGATTGTCATAGTGGCCTTGTCAATCTAGGTGAATTGACCAAAATAATATTTTAAAAAGAGCTCGTCTAAAAGAAAGTAGTAGAAACTGGATGAAAATGTTTCAGTTTATTAAGTTGCGTAGGTTTCACCCCTTCAGGGTACTGCTCGATAACATAGCGAATGTGGAGGGCGGAAAAAGGAAAAGAGTGCGGATGAAAAGACAGATATAAAAGTGGAAGGGATTTCAGTCAATGGTTTTTTTTATCAAATCGCGTTTTGTATCGTTACCTTTGTCACTTTTCTGAATTTTAAATGTTGCAGGACAAATGCTGGTAACTACTCCTCAATCGCTGCTTATCAAAAGGCCAAATTGGAGGAAGACGCTGAAAGTCGGGAATTATCCGATAGGGATAGCGCCAGTTCAGTGCAGTATGAAGTATTTTCATTTAGCACCCACAATTCATTAATTTTTATTATGCGTTTTGTGCTGTGTAACAGCAGTACAAAACGCATATTGTTACGGGGTTGTCT